CATTTTATTTTTTATGTACTCTGCCATCATGGTGTATATGTATTTCTTTTCAGTAATCCCTCTTAGTCCGGGTTCCATGTGTGATCTACACACACGGCATTCAACAGAGGGAGGAGTCCGCAACCACCTCGACACGCCTGATGGGCGGGGCGTGCCGACGTGTTCATGGACCAGATCTACACATCCCTCCCCTCAGTACACACGTGAGTAGGACGCACCACGTGACTAAGACGCCGGGGAACTTCAGGGCGGTGGCGAAGTGGCGATCACATGGGTCTGTGACGTCACTTCCGCCAACCGCCCGGACTCATGCGGATCACTTCCGCCAACCACCACAGGCCACCAATGAAATTTAGAGGTAATATAGGCGCCAGAAGTCTTAACCAATTAAAGGGATATACACACAATTTACTGCATATAGGAAATGTAAACTTCATTGTGATTGGCCAATATGGATTGCACTCATTAAAGGGGAGGCCCCCAAAAAACATTTAAAATGGAAGATCCAGAGGACTAACATCACAGCTGACTGAGGAAGCTCCACAAAGGAGTGAAACGCGTATTGGCTATTTCCAAAGGACTTTTTCACCAAGGACTTTTATACTTATTGTTTTTATTTGATTTTTATTTGTTTTTTATACTTGAATAAATTTACCATTTTATTTAAGATCCTTGCCTAAGTCCTTTTGGGGCCTCAAAGAGAATCTTCCAGGGGTAGTGCCATCCCCATCCAAACTGGTACAATATCTATACACCTAGAGCCGGGACCCACAGGCTCAGGACCAGGTGAGCACACCATTTACTTATATCACATTGTGTTACCAGAAGAAATATCTACACATTGGTTCGTATTTCCTGATTTTGTCTTTGAGAATCATCTGAAGGAGACGGGCGGTGCTACCCTAATAAGCACACAAGCCACAATACGGAGCCAGTGTTTTTTATATACAGGCTCCTTAAAATGTGAGTGTTCCATTCATCTAACTATACTATTAAGGTTAAATTACCATTGGAAATACCGTCTGCACTATATTGTCCTTTCTTGTATTTTTTTCCTTTATATGTACCTTATACTTTACCATTGAGTGCAATATCATTTGGTAAGCCATATATGTGTTGGAGCGCTCCACTTATTGGGATAAGTCTTTCTGCTACTTAAACCGCACTTATAACTACAATTTTGTCTTGTGGAATAGAGGATATTTCCACATAAGTGTATTGAGCTGCCTGTAAATCACCTTTATTTGTTTAGACCACTCTTTTACACACACTCCTCTGTAAAAGGAGGTAACGTTTGACTGGTATTCATGCATTGCTGATAATGTACGTGTATTGTGTAGTAAGGCAATTATTAATCCTATACATTCAATTTTCCCTGCAGAGTAAATGTAAACTTTAGATGGCTGACCTCGTAGGGTGCATAACAACCTATGCAAAATCATAAGCATCAAACAATATAAGCATAACTAAATCTAGTTCCATTACCAAACAGTCCCTCAATTTATCATCACATGCATCGCATTACTTCTGTATATGCCGTGGCTAAGTATCATTATATCAGCTGCATACCAATGCTTGGGGAATATATATGTGTATCAGTACAGGACAAGAGATGCAGTTTATCGCCTGCGCAGAGGCAAGTATCTTGGACCGTTGAAACGTTTAAAAACGTTACGCGGCTTTATGTGCTTAGGCTTAAAACAAATATATGGTGGTTGTGTTCTGGCTCGGTATGAAATACAGTTAATGGCAAGTGTTTGGCTAATTGCTCGGTCTCGGTTACTGATGCATGTTTTCCTTTCAGGAACATGTATCGTATAGCAATCTGCGCGTGAATAAAGTATGGTTATGGACTAAGTTTTAATCGGGGTACCTTTGCTGTTGCATTAACATGTTTAACTTAAGCAAGGTAGGTAACTGTTTAGGTTAATCTTCAACAAATCCTTAACAAAATGCAGTGTTGCTATAAGGAGGCATTTGGAGGCAGTGGTGAGTTTTCATAATGCTTGCTGCCATTCTGGGAAAGGCTATTTATGCAATAATGTACGCCCCTAGACTGTGGGTCATATGGGCCCTGCAGCATAAACAGCGTTTCCACGGCTAATATGATATATTAAGTAAGCATCATAAGGCTGTGAGTGGTCATAGCCGTTTGTCTCTGAACTACGTCTAATGAATTATGGCATAGGCCTGCAACAACAATGAATGGAAAGGAAATAAAAAACAATTGAAAGGACTATAACATCATGAGAGCTAGGCTTGTAGAAGCATGTCATATACGTGAAGGGATGCATAAACAGGCGATTGCAATTCCAAAGGAGAACTGATATAAACAATGGTTAGTTATGCTATGCTGGCAATTAGAGTCAGGGTGTTTGTATCCTGAGCCTAGGTTGCAAACGTGTTATAGTGCAGTTGCTGCTAACAGTGCTGGAAAACATAAGTGAGTCGCTTCGTGGGGAGTGGGGAAATGCTGCGCTGTGTCGTTGCACACAACAGGTTGTGGAGAACAGTATCGATTACATTGTAAGTGTGTTGCCTCCATGGTTGCCTCCATAGGCCTTCAAGCATGCCTGCCCCCCATTGGTCCTCCCCGGGTCTGACCTGTCCCGCTGGTATAGCATTCTGTGGTGCCGTGGGCACTCAAAGTCCAAATCCGTCCCCCAGACCCCCCACACCAAGAGTCCAGGTTCCGACCGTCTTCTGCACCTCCCCAGCACCACTTCAGCCTCTGTGAAGCATCTAGACCCTCATGTCTCACCTGGCGCCGGCCACATACTTAGGACTGGGGCACCTCCCTCACGGCCACCGGTACACCAGAAAGGTCTGTGCATACCTGTCCCACAGGACTCACTGCGGCAGGGACAATCTGCCCCGGGTCCCCCCCGAAACCCAAAGGTAGAGACTGGTACTTCTCCAGGGGGCAGGCCGCCCAGAATATCCCTCTGCAGGGCAGCAGCTGTCAAGCCCACCGAAGCAATGCGAGGAAGTCGCTCTATGATGATGAGTCTCCACTCCCATGTTAGCACCGCCATACAGCAATGAATTCTTGTAGTTGTCCCGTTTACAAGGCGGGATTCCGACAGCAGGGTGACACTCCTGACGCCTTCTGCTCCCCCAGGGTGTTGTCGAAGCAGGGACTCATGGGCCGGGATAACCCCCACCGGCCCGGGGGGGGGAGCGGGGC